GACATTCTGAGGAATACCAGATGTTCCTTTTCTAACTCCTGGGAATTCCAGGGAGGAGAAAGAGAAAATATAAAAAAACGAGTCACCTGAAGAACAATATAAGAAAAGTTCCCAGAGATGAACATTTCCTAAAGGTCCAGACTGAGCAGGTTCCAAACTCCTTTGCCCAGGAAAAAAAAAAAAAAAAATAAAAATAAATAAATTGGTAAAAGTTCACAAAGTGGCATGCCTTCATAAAATCTCACAGTAGAGATAAAGAGAATGTTCTAAAGACTTCCAGATGGTTTAGGATGTCAGTTGTAATGTGTGTAAGCTTGAGTTTAATCACTAGAATATACACACAGGCAGGTACAAACACACACACACACACAGCAGAGAGAAAGATAGAAACAGAGACATAGAGAGGCAGAGAGAGAGAGAAGCAGAGAGGGAAACAGAGACATAGTCAGAGAGAAGGACAGACAGAGAGTGAAAGCAAGTCCAAATTATAGGAACTTGGGTGTCATCCTATGGATGAAAAGCAACAGTGGTTGTTAGAATATAATAGGGCAAATAATTTAAATTTTGAAAGAAAATTGATGTTTTTAATATAAGTTTGCAACCCAAAATACTACAGACAGGTAAAGTACTAATTGACAGTAAGAATGGGATATGCATGCTGAAAATCTCTTTCTATATGGCCTTTCTAAGAACTTGTTTGGAGCTAGCTGAAATGAGGGAGAAGAAAAATCAAGACAGGTGACATAGAATTCCCACCTGTGGAGGGAAGGGAGCATTTTCTTCTATTTCCATGAAGGAACCATGGTTTTCATGTCACTGCAAGATGATGGGATGGGGTTTTAGACAGAACTCTCTATTCTTATTCTGGGACACCTTCATGACATTTTTTGCAAAACTCGGGTGAAATGTAACTGAGACCTAAGCTAGGGCGCTAGGAAGAACCACAAAAACGTATACGGATACATGAACAACTGAGCTGGAATCTGACGACTGGGGGAGCACAGTTTTATTTTACGATAGACACGTATGGCATATTATGGCATTAGCAGTAAAACAAGAACAAGGGAGACCACGCGGAAGAACACTGTATCCTCAAGCCCCGGATGCTGCTCTACAGGAGGCAGGAGGGATTCTGTGGTGCCGGTTGTACTGCTTCAAGTGGAGAGGCAGTGCGGTCTGGCCTGGGAAACAGAAAGGAGCTGCTACCTCCATTTCTGATAACACTTGGAGTGTCTGTTCGGAGCTTGAGATCTCTGGAGACCCGGGTCAACTTAAAATACAGGTAGAAAGAGCAACAACAAAATCCACAGCGGCTCTTGCCACTTGAACCAGAGTGTGAAGCATGTGTGGGTAGAACGACCTACTTCAGCAGGGTCACACCAGGACGCTGTAATTGCAGAGTATGTACAACGGATGCTTACAGCTACATCAAATGACCTTGCATCCCAGAGACCAGTGTTGGAGAGGTAGTCAAGGAGCAGATCTGCATGGCCTTGAAGGATAAGACATAAGGAGTGGATAGGGCACTGGGGAATCGCTGGGAAGTTAAGCAGGAAAGTGATATTTCTTGATGTTGTCTTTATCAAAATCTTAATAATTTCATTTTATCAGGAGCCAAATGCTGAGGCAGAGAAAGTACCCAGCTGACCTTCCTTCTCAGCCAACATCCCAGAAGGCAAAGGGAACCTCCTTCCGTCAAACTGAATGTTCCTCCCTTCTATTTCCTGTGTGTCTCTCTATCTCTCTTCCTGATTTCCTCTTACTCTCTATGTGTTTTTCCTACGTTCACTTCCTGTTTGGGAGAAGAGGATTTCATTTGGCTTTGCTTCCATATCACTGTTCATCACTGAAAGAAGTCAGGACAGGAACTCAAACAGAGCAGGAACCTAGAGCTACAAGCTGATGCAGAGGCCATGGAGGGGTGCTGCTTACTGACTTATTCCTCATGGCTTTCTCAGCCTGCTTTCTTATAGAACCCAGGACACCAGCCCAGGGATAGTATCATCCACAATGCAAAACCAAGTTATAAAGATAACAAAATAAAATCACAGAGGCACATCTCAATGTTTTAGCAAGTTTACAGTTTCTGTGTCAGGCCACATTAACATACTGTGGCAGTCTTACATCCTTGGATGGGACCAAAGCAGGGAAAATTAGCTAAAAGATGCTATCATCCACAGACAGACGGACGCACTGTGGAATAGAGACATCTAAGTTGCTTCAAGAGAAATGAGAGTTGAAAGATGGCCTGACCTTGAAGATAGCACAGTGTGCGGATTGAGGGGAGAGTGAGTGTGTGGGGGTGGTAGGCATCCAAAGGACAGGAGTAGCTACACTTCGTAGCTATGCTAAAGGCTCTCTCTCCTCCCTCTGCTCTTTTCCCAGCTGCAAAGTTATTTAGGCCAATTTCACAAACAGCTTTTTCTAGTGTTAATCACCTGGAGAGCATTCAGTGACAGGAGCCAAAGTTCATTCTTGTTAATAGGCGAGGTTAGAAAACACAGACTGTAGAATTTTAAATTAAAAAACAAAAAATTAATATGACACCTTCTCCCACAAGAATTTTAGTTCTGTGGTGAAAACAAAGATAATATATGAGCTTTATAGTTGTTTTTTTTTTTTTTTTAAAGGAACTGTATCAAGTTCTGGCAGCCTTGAACCTTGATAATATGATCCAGTTAAATCCAGCTGCAATAGGAGAAGTTGACAACATTAGATTTCACTTGCTAAGCAGATACTAATTATGTTTTTTTCATTTTGTTTTTTTATTTTTTTAATTTTTTTGAGATTATACTATAATTACATCATTCCCCTCTTCTCTTTCTTCCCTTCCAGCCCTCCCATATGCCCTTCCTTGCTCTCTTTTAAATTCATGGTCTCCATATTTTATTAAGCCTTGCTATTTGCATATATGCACATGTATATACACATATTTCTGAATACATTAATGTAACATGCTCAGTCTGTATATTGTTACTCATATGTACTTTTTTATGGCTGACCATTTGGTATTTGATAGCTTCCCTTGGGAAGACTATTTCTCCCACTCTCAGAATTCCAAAGTTGCCTGTAGTTCTCTGTGTCGGGTTGAGGCCTTATGGTAACCCTCCTCCAAAGTCCTTTTTAGCATGTCTATTGGAGCTGTCCTTGTTCAGCTGCTATTCTGGCAGTCTTGTTGGTGAGACTTTATGGGTGCAGCTTCTGGCATTCCTAGAAGATGCAAACTTACTGTACTTCTGGTTTACAATCTTTCTGCCCCCTCTTCTGCAACGACCCCCCAGCATTTGGGTTTAGGAATTGTTTCGTAGATTTATCCATTGGGACTGGGCTCCACAACTCTGCATTTTGATTGGTTGTGGTTTTCTGTACTGGCCTACCTCTGTTGCAAAGAGAGGTTTCTAAGGAGGGGTGAGGACTGCACTTATCTGTGGGCATAAGGCAGATGTTTAGAATGTAGTTGGGGATATGCTGGTTTAGGAAAGTGGCATTGTATGTTCTTCTCCAAGGTCCATTACTTCACTAGCCCTGCTAGTTGGCTAGGTTTCCAGTGCCAAGCTTGATTTCCCTCCTGTTAAGTTGGTCTTAAGTTCAATTAGAGAGCTATTGGTTACCACCTAAGTATGTGGGCAAGTGTTTCATATAGCCCACGCTAGTTTGAACTCCAGGATGATGGCTTTGAACTCCTGATTCTCCTGCCTCCACCTTCCAAGTGCTAACATTATAGACATATGCCACCATACCATGCTTATATTAATTTTTAATTTTTATTTAATTTTGCCTCTTTTTTTTTTTTCGAGACAAAGTCTCACTTGGCTGTCCTGAAAACTGCTATATAGATCAGGCTGGCCTAGACCTCTTAGAGATCTGCCTGCTTCTGCCTCCTATGTGCTAGGATTAAAGACATGTACCATCACTCCTAGACCATACTAAATATTTTAAATATAAATATGAAAGCCTTGGAGAGGAAACGTGTGGTGACTATTTTAATTGATAAGATAAAAAGTAGAGAGATGATAAGTTAAATATTTGTAGCCAGAGTCAAGCTTTTTTCAGTGCAAGAAAAATTATCAACAAAACATACAGTCTATACTCTTTGGTACTAGAGAAGAGAGAATTGCTACTTAAAAGCCAAAATCCATCCTACATTAATAACTAGCATTTAGTATACAACTTCTGGCTATGCCACACCTCCCACAGTTTGCAGAGTAATTTTTAGATTATTAATAAAATAATTATCTCTCTCATAGGAATACATTTATATTCTTCTAAAAAGAAACTGTTTCAAGGGTTCTCTTAGACATGACTTACTATGTAACTATTGAATGCTTAAGTTCTGCATAATGGAGAGTGTGTTCATAATAATTGATGGCGATCTCTATCAAAGGAGTAGTTTGTGTGTCTTCAGACCTGAACCACACACGCCCCAAAAAGTGATAACGGTTTTGGTGCAGTTGACCTTGATTTTTATTTTGTTTCTGGCAACTCTTTAATGGTTGTATGATGTCATTTTACAAAGTAAGGCTTGCATCCCTCTCTGATTCCATGAGTTCACTGAGAAAATCAAATGTTTATAGATTTCTGTTGATTAAATGCAAGAATTCCACTCAGTATAAATACTATTTCTAAACCAGGTGCAGGCCTGTAATCCCAGCACTCAGGGAGGCAGAAGCAGGTGGATCTGTGAATTTGAGGCTAGCCTCATCTACAAAGTGAGTCCAGAACAGCCAAGGGTACACAGAGAAATCCTGTCTCAAAAAATCAAATTTATATTTATATTTATATTTATATCTATATTTATATCTATATATAGTAGTTCCTATTAGAAACGCATGCTGTGAACCAGTAACTGTAGAAAACAAACTCAGATTACATAGTCAGTAGCAGAAAGTTGTCATCTCCCCATTAATCTCAGGGCTATTTGCTTTGGCAGCGAGGGGCAAGGACAAGAAAGCCATGGCTAACCACTGCCTGCCTGTGTTATTTTCTTCTCTGCATCCCAGAGATGTGTCTTCCACCAGTGTCACTGCCCTGCCCTCCAAGGGCTTGGAGCACCTGAAAGAACTGATTGCAAAAAACACTTGGACTCTCAAGAAGCTTCCACTGTCCTTGAGTTTCCTGCACCTCACACGGGCTGACCTCTCTTACCCGAGCCACTGCTGTGCTTTTAAGAACCAGAAGAAAATCAGAGGGTAAGTAGCAGGGGTAATAAGCAAGGAGAGGCCATGATGGAAGAAGGATTCCTTTGTAGATTTGGAAAATTATTTTATTTAGAACCTAGGAGGGAAAGAGTGGAACCATCCCCATGAGCAGGAAACCCAATGGCTTAATAGTTGTGGGAACAAAATGTTTGCAGATGAGAAATAAGGCCAACATTGCTGAATTGCAGTGGGGCAGGGAAAACCATAAGAAATGATGTCATGGAGACAGGGCTCACTATGAAGCTGACTTGTCTGGTGTCTACAGACTTGGAAGCAGGTTTCGTTTGTATCCCAACCCTATCCATTCCTAGCCTCGTTGTCTCAGCCTACTAATTCAACTACTCCAAGCTTCAAAGAGTCAAGATTATCACATCATCATCCATAGGGGCTTTGAGAAGATGAAGAGGTTGAATGAAAGACATCTGGAATCGAATGGCTAAAATATAACAAGTAAAAAGTATTAACTATGACATATATTAGTCCAATATCTGGCTACTTACAAGACTGCCCGGGAGACACACTCCTTTATGCTTTACACTCAAATTGTCAGTGGTTTTTTTGCTCTGACCTCTTTGGTTCCTGTGCCACCTCTTGTTTGAACTCCTCCTTCATTTTCTATCTCTGTCTCCTTCAGTTACCACAAAAGTATCCACTAGAGGACTTTCTACACTCATTTTAACCAGAAAAAAAATATCAGGAGCTAGTCAAAGAAGCAGATGCAAATAGGAATGTTGAAGAGCTAGGCAAAAAAGACCAGTGTGACCATAAAACTACATGGACATATGGTGTTGATGCCAGATGCTATACTAATGCTACAGGACACGGAGTGGAAAGGACCAGGGATGAATGCACAGATAGAGTGGGCCTCACTGATGGGTGTGACCCTGGTGAGGTAGAAAAAAATGTAAACCTTCCCAGTCCCAACTGATATACCTACAATATAACCCCTGTACCTAAAGCTCAGGAATCCCTGAGAGATGAAAAGATTATAAGAGCCAGAAGAACAAAGAGGGGGGGCTGCCATGAGACTGTCTCCTAGGAATGTCAAAAGATACACCCATGGAGTATCTCCAACATGACTACCTGAACATGAGATGAACAAGGACAACAATAGAATGCCATTTTTTTTTACATTTTAATTTTTATTTATTCATTTTTACATCCTGATGGTAGCCCCCTTCCCCTCTCCTCCCAGTCCAATCCTCCCTCCTGTTTTCCCTATCATCCCTCCCCTACTCCTCAGAGAAGAGAAGCCCCCTATCCACCCACCCCACCATAACATGTAGCATCAGGACTGATCAAATATTTTGCTGTGGCCTGGAGAGGCAGCCCCACCAATGGAAAGTGATTGAAAAGCAGGCAATATAGCCCGTGTCAGAGTCAGCCCCCATCCCCTTACTAGGGAAGCTATATGAGGACTGAACTGCCCATCAGCTACTATTGTGTAGAGAGTCTATGTCCAATCCATGCATGGTCCTTGATTGGTGCTTCAGTCTCCACAGGATACTCTGGGCCCTGGTTAGTTGGCTCTGTTTGTCTTCTTATATAGCTTCTGTGCTATATAAGCACTCTGGGTTCTCCTATCCTTCCCCCAACTCTTCCACAAGGCTCCTTGCACTGCACTCAATGTTTGGCTGTGGGTCTCTGCACCTATTTCAATCAGGTGCTGTGTGGAGTTACTCAGAGGACAGCTATAATACGCTCCTGTCTGCAAGCATAGTAGAGTATTGTTAGTCGTGTCAGAAGTCAGCTGTCTCCCATGGGGTGAGTCTCAGGTTGGGCCGGTCATTGGTTGGACATTTCCTCAAGCTCTCCTTTATTTTTGTCTCTGCCCATCTTGGAGGCAGGGTAAGTTTTGGGTCAAAATTTTTGTGGATGAGTTGGTGTTCTCCTCTCTCCACTAGGAGTTGTTCTAGTTATAGGGTGGCCTCTTCAGTCTCTATGACCCCTGCTACTAGGAATCTCAGCTAGACTCACCTTCATATCCTCCCAGGAACTTACCCTGTCATAGGTCTCCAGCTTGTCAGAGAGAAGTACCTGCCCAAGGTTTCTCTTCTCTGGGCAAGCCCTCTGTCTTCCTGCCCCGACTCTTTTCAGGTCTGATATTGACCCTTATTTCTCTCCATGCTCATTCTCTTACCCTGTTCCCTCTCTTCTATCACTTCTACTATCTGTTCTATTTCTACTTCTGAGTGGGAGTTAAACGTCCTCCCTTAGGTCCTCCTTGTTGCTTATCTTCTTTGGGTCTGTGAGTTGTAGTATGATTATCCTGTACTATATAGCTAAAATTCACTTATAAGTGAGTATAACACATACCATGTGTGGCTTTCTGGTTCTAGATGACTTCACTCTGGATGGTCTCTTCTAGTTCTATCCGTTTGCCTGCAAATTTCATGATTTTCTTGTTTTTAATAGCGGAGTAATATTCCATTGTGTAAATATACCATAATTTCTGTGTCCATTCTTCAGTTGAGGGACATCTAGGTTGTTTCCAGTTCCTGGCTATTATGAGTAAAGCTGCTATGAACACGGTTGAACAAGTGTCCTTGTTGTATGGTAAAGTATCTTTTGGGTATATACCCAGGAGTAATATAGCTTGGTCCTCAGGTAGAGCTATTCCTAATTTTCTGAGATAGCACCAGATTGATTTCCAGAGAGATTGTACAACTTTGCCCTCCCACCAGCAATGGAGGAGTGTTCCCATGTTCCCCTTCTCGACAACATGTGCAGACATGCTAATGTTGGTGTGAGGAAGGACTGTAGGCCTCAACCCTACACAAAGAACAACAGGCAATTAAGAAATGCTGATAAAGAATTAAAAAAAAAAAAAAAGAAATGCTGAAAGTAGGAGAAATAGTCAAGGAAGAGCAAACCAATTTGTTATCCAATACCAAATTGTCAGCCCTGGAACCATATACACAGAAGTAACATCCAGACTGAGCAGGGTTTGTTTAGTTAGTCAGTTTTGTTTTGTTTTTCAAGAACAGGGTTTCTCTGTGTAACTTTGGCTGTCCTGGGCTTGTTTTGTAGACCAGGCTGGCCTGGAACTCACAGAGATCCACCTGCTTCTGCCTCCCTGAGTTCTGATTACAGTTGTGTGCCACTGTACCTGGTCAGGTTATATCTATATATTTAGGAACATACACACACATAACAATAATTATTTTAAAAAGAGTCATGAATTTGAAAGTGAGCAAGGTAGGGTATATGGAAGGGGTCAGAGGGAGGAAAAGGGAAGAGGAAGTGATGCGATTTTATTTTCAAAAAATAAAAAGTGAATGTAACAAGTAAGTCCCATTTCTAAGACTAAACCTACGCGCTGTAGCCGTTTATTCATTTTTTAGCAAATATTTGATGGGCATCTCCTATGTGCCTGGCATTGTCCCAGCTATAACAAAAGTACAAGGAAATTTTTTTGTATGTAGCTTATAATCTACTAGAGGAAGTCAATAAACAAAGAAGGAAATGTCATTCAGGGCTGTGAAGGTCTAAAACACCAGGGTGGAGTGGTTTATTTAAGAAGACCAGGAAACACTTAAGAAAAAACAGCAGCATATGTTTAAAATTGGATAATGACTGTAGGTGACCATGAGTTTCTCGGTAAACGGAGTATGTAGTTCTGGGACTCAGACCAGGAATAGTGTTAACAGCAATCACAAACACATAGATGGCACAGCCCTTGCTCCCCGTACTCTTGGAACAGCTTGGAAAAGATACTTATCTATTCATTCAACACTCTCATTCCATTCACAAATGAATAAGTTTCACAGACCTGTCCACCCTGTCCCAGCCAGTAAGTAGAGGAGCCATGTTCTGAGTTGGTTCCAGTGTCCATGCTTTTCAATCATGACTCTTCTTGAAGTGGCTCAAGATGATAAGAAATAAGATCAGTGTCACTGGTCATGGTAGGAGAGGTGACGTCCTATAAATGGGTGCAGCAAAGGGTGGGAAAGATGGCTCAGAGAGGTGCTTGCTGCCAAGGCTGATGGCCTGAGTCCCACACCCAGCACCCACATGATAGAGAAAGAGAGCTGACTTCCACAAGTTGTCCTTCTGAAGAAAGGGAAATTAAACATTATAAACAAGTGTCACAGAGGATTTACCAGTGTTTGCTTAGAGAATATTAAGTTACACAAAAGTAGACTTTAACTGAAAAAGCATGGCCTCAGACACAACTCTAAGATAAGTTACATACTAACCAAACTTAGAAAGTGTAAGATAAGGAAGGGCTGAGTTGTACTTGTAAGAAAAATTAGAAGTCAGACCTACTGAGGATTTGTTTCTTCAGAACTCACTCATACGAAGCCCCTCCCCTCATCAGAATAAGCAGAGAAAATGACCTTGGCTGTGGACTGATCAGACAGCAAAGCTGATTTATTTAACAGAGAGCCATATCTCTGTTTCTCAGTGTAATCTAAAGGTCACCAAAAACTGCAGCTTGATTTAGTTGCTGTTACTCCCTGCTAATTGCTCAGAAAGTGTATCTTGGGATGGGAGCCTAAAAAACCACCTGCAGATGAAAGCGTACGTAAGGTTATATGTCATAGATCGAGCTGGCAAGCTGTACCAGATTTCTGTCCATGGCTTAACCAGAGTCTGGGTGCATGCTTTTCTTAAAGAGTTCTCATTAACCTTTGAAGTGCCTGGCGTAAGTTCTGATGGGGAAGGTTTAATTCTGCCATTACACTTTGATCTCCATATCACCTTGTGGTGCACATACACATAAGAAATTAAACATTTTAAATGACATAGCAGAGGCCCGGCCTGGCCATAGCATCCATAGCACCATGAACATCAAAATAGATCACTTGCATATCTTCCCAAGGGCTATGGGGAATCAAGCGTGGACTTTAAGCAATTAGTGACTCATAGCTGTTGCCTTGCAGAATCCTAGAGTCCCTGATGTGTAATGAGAGCAGTATCCGGAACCTGCGTCAAAGAAAATCAGTGAATGTCTTGAGGGGTCCCACCTACCAGGAGTACGAGGATGATCTGGGTGACAACAGTGTTGGGTACAAACAAAACTCCGGGTTCCAGGAGAGCCCCAGCAACTCTCATTATTACGTCTTCTTTGAAGAACAGGAAGATGAGATCTTGGGTTTTGGCCAAGAGCTCAAAAATCCCCAGGAAGAGACTCTCCAAGCCTTCGACAGCCACTATGACTACACTGTGTGTGGGGACAATGAAGACATGGTGTGCACCCCCAAGTCGGATGAGTTTAACCCCTGTGAAGACATCATGGGCTACAAGTTCCTGAGGGTCGTGGTGTGGTTTGTCAGTTTGCTGGCTCTCCTGGGCAACGTCTTCGTCCTGCTTATTCTCCTTACCAGCCACTACAAATTGACCGTGCCGCGCTTTCTGATGTGCAACTTGGCCTTCGCAGACTTCTGCATGGGGGTATACCTGCTTCTCATCGCCTCTGTCGACCTGTACACACACTCTGAGTACTACAACCATGCCATCGACTGGCAGACAGGCCCTGGATGCAACACAGCCGGCTTCTTCACCGTCTTTGCCAGTGAGTTATCTGTGTACACACTAACGGTCATCACGCTGGAGCGATGGTACGCCATCACCTTCGCCATGCGCCTGGATAGGAAGATTCGCCTCAGGCACGCATACACCATTATGGCTGGGGGCTGGGTTTCCTGCTTCCTTCTTGCCCTGCTTCCTATGATAGGAATAAGCAGCTATGCGAAGGTCAGCATCTGCCTGCCGATGGACACCGACACCCCCCTTGCTCTGGCCTACATTGTCCTCGTGCTGTTACTCAATGTCATTGCCTTTGTCATTGTCTGTTCCTGCTATGTGAGGATCTACATCACCGTCCGAAACCCCCAGTACAACCCTCGCGATAAAGACACCAAGATTGCCAAGAGAATGGCTGTGTTGATCTTCACTGACTTCATGTGCATGGCCCCCATCTCCTTCTATGCCCTGTCAGCACTTATGAACAAGCCTCTTATCACCGTTACCAATTCCAAAATCTTGCTGGTTCTCTTCTATCCCCTCAACTCCTGTGCCAATCCGTTTCTCTATGCTATTTTCACCAAGGCCTTCCAGAGGGATGTGTTCATTCTTCTCAGTAAGTTTGGCATCTGCAAACGCCAGGCCCAAGCATACCAAGGTCAGAGAGTCGCTCCAAACAATAGCACTGGTCTTCAGATCCAAAAGGTTCCCCAGGACACGAGGCAGAGTCTCCCCAACATGCAAGATGCCTATGAACTGCTTGGAAGTTTCCACCGACCTCCAAAACTACAGAGACAAACCTCAGAAGACTATAAACAAACGGCTTTGTAAACTGACACTACACCAGTCCCAGCGGGACTGACAAAAGGCTGGTTTCTTGAACACACGTTTCAATCCCATGACACAGGAATGCATAGCTTCATGTAGGTGATGTTTCATAGGGTCAGAGTTCATCTCTAGAGAGTATTGCCTCCAAGAAGGGACAACAGCTATCAGCAGATCTGAGTCCTGGGGGATATGAAAAGTCTATGCTCTCCAGGGGACTTGCTTGATGCTCATCTATGACACTGTGCAACGTGTTCCACAGATAACATCTGAACCATTCCCATACCCATCTTCTCCATTTTCATGTAGGGATTTTTGGTTTTGTTTTGTTTTTGTTTTTACAAAAGATTCAACAAGCAGCCAGTGTTCATTTACTTAGGCAGCTCCATATTGGGTCCTTTGATATATAACCAAAGGAAGTTTTTATCCCTTAAAACTAAAGTGTCACACTTGAGAGGTGGAGGCAGTGGGGATTCAAGGTTCTTCCGTAGCGACATAGTGAGTTCCAAACCAGCCGGGGCTACATGAGACCCCATCTCAAGGTACCAAAAGAACCTTGGAAACCAAACACAACTAGATGACACATGATTGCTTTTACTAAATATGAAAAGGGGCAAAGTCTAACTCTGAGAGGTTTTGGTTTGGTTTGGTTTTTTCTGAAACAATTTCCTCCTCTCCAGGTTCCACCTGCTATACCCCGGCTGCAGTACATCGACTAGAGAAACAGCTAAGACTTTAGCTTCTGTGACTGAGCAAACTGAGAACTGTCTTCCTGTACAAGCTGTGAGCTCTGGAAGACATTTCTAAGCAACGCATGGGAATGAGGCCAGAGTACTCTCAGTCACCTGTTGAATGATACAACTATGCACCATTTAACTGCCTGGCTTCAAGCAAGTCCCTGAAACTCCAAATTCTATAGACATAGAGGCACATGATCTAGATATATCTCTCCCTCAATAGATATTTTTTCATGACAAAGAGAAAAAAAAAGCACTACTTAAATAGAATGTATTTTTTTTCTATTTTGTGGGGCTGCTGTCTACTTTCTAGAACTATTACATACAGCCCAAAAAGATTTTTTTCTTTATTTCATTTTGATCATCATGTCTGAACCAAAAATTCTGCTGAGTGACTATATGGAGCCATATCCTAATTATTCATCTAATTATTATATCTATACTGCTGTCAAGTCCAAAACAGACATGAATTTATGTTACGAGATAATAATACAGCTGGGTGTGATGGTGCACACCTTTAATCCTAGCATTCAAGAGGCAGAGGCCATAGATCTCTGAGTTCGAGGCCAGCCTGGTTTACAGAGTGAGTTCCAAGACAGCCCGAGCTACACAGAGAAACCCTGCCTCAAACAAAACAAAACAAAACAAAACAAAACGAAATATAGACAAATAATTGAGTTATTATATGACTGCATAGACTCACTTCAAAACATTTAACTCCTCTTCACAGATCTGTGGATTTTTGTTTTTTTGTTTTTTGTTAGCTCTTTGCAGCTCACGTCACGCTGACACTGCCAGGAAAGAAATCTTTTCATCTGACACGGTCAGTTCCTTCTAACCCTGCCAATCACAATAAAACTTTTATGCCCCAATGGTAGCCTTGCTTCAGACAGTCAGGAACAGTGTATTCAGCTGTACCTCCCAGGTTGCCCGTCTGGTTAGCTCCCTTACTATAATTGTTAAGTGTCCCTTCAAGCAGATCTGTCATTTGCCTCTCAGTGCTCATGAACCAAACCAGGAAAGACAAGGCCTCAGTCACTTTAAGTCTGTGAAGGAGGGTTTGTGGGTCATCTAACATAGTCCCTGCGTGACTGGCCTGGTACTTTGTCATAGTCACATAAGCCTGGGCCTTCCCAGCAATTCACTTGTAACAATGAAATTAAACAAACATGTTACCTTGCGGCATATGTTTCTCTCTTGTGACATTTTGAATTTTCACATCATGGATAGATAATACGTTTCATCTTGAGTAGCTGATCTAGTGATTTGAAAGCAAAGTCCTAGAAGAGTGACTTCAACAAATATGTTATTAAAATTCACATTGACAGCATGAAATCAATTTTCTTTCTGTACTAATGTTTATAGTATTTTTTAATCGGTCAGTTTCTTTTGAGGTTAACATTATATGTGTGTGTGCTAAAAATCAAAGAGGGGGAAGCACTGTGCACAGTTGCTAAGAAATATATATTGGTTGAAACTGATTAATTATTACTCCTAGAAAGTTGAATAGGATTCATTAATACACATCTACGGATATGAGCGGAACAAGAGTAAAGCAGAATGTATCAAATGATGAGCATTGACGCTGGAAATTAAAGAAGTGGATCAGCAGTTAAAGAGCCCTTGCTGCTCTTGCAAAGGACTAGAATTTGGTCCTCAGCACCCACATTACGTAGCTCACAATTTCCCATCACTCCAGCTTCGGGGGAATTGATACCCTATTCTGACCTCTGAGTGTACCTGTATACATGTGGACACACACATAGACACATACATACACATAAAATGAGTGCTATTGTGAATGTGAATCAGTAAGTCCTTCCCTTTAACTGGTACCACTTCATTATCTGAAGACTAACCAACTTTAGTGAAGACAAGTTCCAGGCTAGGAACTGGGAAATGGCCCGGTCAGTCAGGACCCTTGACCTCATGGCCAAGCATGAGGACCTGAGTCTGAGCTCCAGCATGTGAGAAGTATATACTTGCAATCCCAGCACTGGGTGAGCCAGCATGGTCCTGCTCCTCTGACTTGGTCATCCAGCTTGACAAATGGGAAAGGTGCAGCTCAGTGAAAAACTCCCTCTCTCTCTCTCAAAAAAAAAGTGGTAAAGAACAGTTGAGGAAGACACCAACATCAACCTCTGGCCTATACACACACACACACACACATATATACACAAACACTTACACATACACACCAAAATTAAATAAACAAAATTACCCACAGGCTAGATTTCGTGAACTTCATGTCCTAAAATTTCGTACATATTGCTCAAAGCAAAGTTTCAAAATACACCCCCTCCTATCTATTGACTCTTTCTTCCTGGATAGTCTACCACACAACATAATTTATCAGTTAAAAAAAAAGCAGAATGTATATAAGGCGGTACTATGAGAATGGCAGAGATGAAGGGATATAAAGAAAAAATACAATAAAATAGCACACTAACAGTTTAAGAACAAATAGTTTTGTCCTGCTTGAAGTTTGGTGGGGAGGAGATTGTTCAGCCTAAATATCTAAAGAGATAAGAAAGGAATGATACATTCTGGTTGTGTGTGTGTGTGTGTGTGTGTGTGTGTGTGTAGTGTATGATGCGTGCATGTGTGCGTGTGCAGGAACACATGTCTCTGCTCACAGGGAAGACCAGATGACATGGGATGTTTTGTTCTGTTCTGTTACTGTGGTCACTCACTGGGCCTGGAGCTGGGCTTGTGTCCAGTAAGTGCTAGCAACCCTCCTGCCTCCCGTACCACACAGCACTAGGGTTATAGGCTGTATAGTTACTTCTCTATTGCTGTGACAGGACTCCATGTGAGGCAGCTTACAAAGGACAGAGTTTACTTGGGGCTTATAGCTGCAAAGGCTTCGTGTCCGTGACCATCATGGTGGACAGTGTGGCAGCGGGCAGGCAGGAATGATGCTGGAGCAGTAGCTGAGTGCTCACATCCTGGTCCAGAGAGGAGGAGAAACTCAGAAAGCTCACCCTTAGTGACCTCTCTAACAAGGCCACGCCTCCTGATCTTTTCAAAAGAGTTCCACCAGCTGAGGACCACGTATTCAAACCTATGAGCTATGAGGGCCATTCTTTTTCAAATCACCACAGAGCTGTATGTTTGGCTATATTATAGCTCTTTATTTGGGTTGTAGGGATTTGAACTCAGATCCTCATGCTTGACCCGCTGGGCCATCTCCTTAGCCCTGCATTTGGTTTTAAGTGTTATCCAGGTTGTAGCTCAAAGTGATAGACTGAGTTCCTGCATCTAGCAACCTTCGTCTTTCAGTTTTGACTGAAATGACATAACGAAGTATGAAGGGAGAGTGGCTGAAACTGTGTGGTGAATGGAAGAAACAGGATAATTGGCAAACCAAAGACTTTGGTGGCCTTCTGGAAGGTAGAAAACCTGTGAGCCAGAGAGAGGCATCTGGGGGAAATCACTTCACACTGAAGATATCAACCATCTTCATCCTTTCTTCAAAATGGGCCAAAATGATTGTCACACAAGTGAAAAATATTAACTTCACATTAATAAATGTGAATTAATAAAGAGAACATTTGGAGAGAAAAAAAACAGATAATTCAAAACCAGAATATTAGCATTAAACATTCAATTACTAACAACAGAGTAATACAAAGAACTATTAAACCTCACTACAACAACTATCTTAAAAAGAAATAGTAGAGCTGGAGAGATGGCTCAGAGTTTAAGAGCACTGACTGTTCTTCCAAAGGTCCTGAGTTCAATAACCACATGGTGGCTCATTACATTCTATAATGAGATCTGGTGCCCTCTTCTTATCTGCAGGTGCACATGCAGGCAGAATACTGTATAAATAATAAGTAATAAATAAATAAAATAAATAAATAGATAAATAAATAAATAAATCTTTTAAAAATAAAGGGAAAAAGTAATCGAAAATTAGGAAGTCTGGAAATGTTTAAATTAGATTGCCAAATCAAGAGCTTTAACAAAGGGAGAAGAAGTTAAAGTGAAACAATCTCCTAGAATCCTGAGTAAATAAAGTTGTGACCTATGAAGCAAGAGGTGAGTGGTCCCGGGGTTGGTGAGATGGCTAAGGGGGTAAGGTGCTCGCTGCAGAAGTTTAAGTCCTGAATTTGGAACCCAGGTGCTTCAGGAAGAGACGCAGATCCAGGCAGATCCCTGGGTTCACTGGTGAAGCAGTTTAGCAGAAGTGATGGGCTCCAGGTTGCATAAGAGATTTTTCTTGAGACGTTAACGGGGAGAGTAGTTGAGGAAGACACCTAATTTGTCTCTGACCTCTACATGTGTGCATGCGAACAAATAAACATAA